GCCTCATTTGCACCTCTGAAACCTTCCATTTCCGTGTCTTGCAGTAAGTATCTTTCTGAAAATGTCAGGCACTGTGTAATGGAAGAGTGTTCTAATTTCAGTTTCTTATTAGTAAATAGGAAAAAGAAATAATAAAAATTTATTACTTCCTGCAATATTTCATTAAGCTGTTTAACGCAATGCTAGTGTATTCTCATGTAGAAAACCCTTAAAAATTTAGAAACATTCCTATTCTACATGGACAAATTTAGAATTGGCAGGTATTTTGTGTATTTCTCTTATTTCATGATTTTTATCCAAAACATCGTGTAAAAGACAAGGACAGCAAACAGCTTGGTACTGGGCAGCCACAGGTCTGCAGTTAACTACTGAACTTGGCTGTTTACAGAGGCTGCTGGCTGGGGAGCGCAGAGCACAACCTGCTGCATCCTGCCACAAGGCTGGGGATGAGTCTGTCTGCATAGAGAAGGGATTCCGAAATCCCTGCCCTCACACAGCTTGTACTGTTTGCTGGTGAGACTGTCTGACTGAGCTCTGCAAGACTGGAGAGCAGGAAGAGATGATGGAGGAATAGTAACTGCAGGTAGCACTTTCTGAGGGGACCTTCAGGCTGACTATTATCCCCCCAGCACAGATTTGCTCCAGGATTCATTGTTCCACCCATGTTTCCCTGCTGCTGACTTTGAACTTCCATCTCTACCACCTGCAAAGTGCATGTCTCTGCTCTACCATCCCAGACCCCAGAAGAGTGCTGCTGTTTACAGTGGGGTAGGCCTAGTTTTGCTGAGAATTATGGTCTTTTGCACATTATAGCTTGCCAGTGCCACTGAGAAGATGTCTTTATAGGGGCACTTATACTGCCTTTTAGAGGCTAAAGGAACAATTGTACTTTTTGGGTTAAGGAGGAAGGCAGTTATGAGGACTTCTGTCACATCCACCAGAAACATGATTTTCCCACTCTTCTGTAGACCAGGCACTCGGTTTCTTGCTCTTAGCACAATGCCATGTTTCTGGGTTTGTTTTTTTTTTGTAAAAGAGCTCAAGTATGTATATATAAAGATAGGAGAAGAAAGGCAATGGAAACAGAGGCAACAGTTTCTCATGTTGAGAAAATGTATGGACATTTTATACAACTTCCTTATTTCACTCTCCCAGCAGAGTGGATCAATGGTGCTAAGAGACAAGGGTACAGATGGCTGTGAAATGGGGCATCGGGCTTCCTTGTCACAGGATGATTCCTATGCAAGCTCAATCACCACTGAAAACTTCAATAAATTCTTTGAAATTGTAGCTTCCCAAATAATGAGAGACAAGAAAGCTGGGAATGGTCAGCATGGAGAAGAGGCTCAGGGGATGTCATGAGTATGTACACATATCTGAAGGAAAGCTCTAAAAAGCAGGAAGCCAAGCTCTTTTTCAGTGGTGCCCTGAGACAGAACAAGAGGCAATTGGTACAAACAGGAAGATAGAAGGTTTCCTCTGAACATCTGGAAACACAATTCCATTGTTAAGCTGGCTGAACACTTGCACAGGCAGCCCAGGGAGGTTAAGAGATACCTTTGGAGATATTCAGAAGCTATCTAAAACTGATCCTGGGCAACTGGCCATGGGTCATTCTTCCTGAGCAGCAGGAAGGTACCAGAGAATCTTGAGAGATCCCTTTGAACCTTAAGCATGCTGTGATTCTGTACTAAAGTATCATTCTACAATTGACAAGCTATTTCCAGTTTATGATACTTGAATATGCAGCAACTTTTCATTCATTGAGAGCAGAAAATGTTACCTGGTTGATAGGAATGGACTTGTAATGTCAGCATGGAATGTGCAGCTAGAACAGCAATGGGAATGCATCGCTGTGTGACGAACATAAGAGACAAATGCCCTTTTTTGTCTTTTTCCAGAAGAGGTTTTCTGTTCATCTTAAACAGTAACTGCATTTCTCAGGAGAATCTCACCAACTGTCTCCCTTATTTCAAAGTGTTATCCTTTACAGAGTGGGGGCTCTCCTGGATGTGGGAAGTAGGCCTATGCCCTTCCCAATATATCAGTCTTTCATGGAGGAGCTCATACAGTTTGTTGCATGGGAAGTATGAGATGAGCCTTTCAGCTCCTTGTATTTCCTATTCATCTGCAATATACCTTAGCAACATGTTCCATTTCCTTTTTACTGTGTATGGCACTGACAAGACACTGAAAAATCCATACAGGCCTCCCTCTTCCCTTTAATAGGGTTTTTGTGGGGTTTGCATCAAGTCTCAACCTTTCTTCACATCTAATAAAAGGACTTATTGCAAGACACGAAGTAAAATTTTTATTGTGTTTCTCTGCATCAGAATTGAATATAAACTCATTGACTGTACCTTTAGACTAATTAAGTCTCTCTAATGAGTTCCCTTCCTGTTACTTCAGAGCATGGAAAAATTGACAGAAATATATAAGTTTGATTTTAAAAATGGATCCTGAGGATGAAAGCATGCTTACATGAAGCAATTGTAATAGTAATTCAACTTAGAAACCTCTACTGTAGCTTTACTGAAATACAGTAGTTACTAGTAGGTTAGTCTTCTAAAACCTGCATGTATTTCTTTGTGGCTGCAATTCAGACTGGAACTCAAAAATCAGAAAGACTTTGCTCAAATTATTTTTATTGGGCTGGGCTCTATTTTCCAAATTTCAGAACAAAGGAAATCTGTATTTCAAGATTTATAAACACCTGGAAGTAAATCTTATAATACAAGGCCTGTCAAAAACTTATCATCACTATTGCAGCATTACAAGGTTTTAGTTACATTCTTGTCATGAGATCACTGTAATAAAAATATAGTGCTGTTTAAAATCACAGACCTCTGTGTTTACTCATATGATATGAAGTGATGTAACTACACACACAGTGTATTGGTGGGGTGTTTTGTGTCAGACATATAATAACATACTTGTACAGTACGTGGGAGAAGACTCCTAATAAAACTCACATTCAGAGTACACTGAATAATTAAAAAACACTTTATATGCAGTACATATTTGTCCTTTCATATTTGAAGGTATCATGTGGCTTCAAAAGTGCTTGTATTTGCCAGTTGTTACCATCATGGTTTACCTTATGATGGCAATTGCTGCTTTGCTACCTAATATGAGGGGCCACTTGTAATGCCTTGTGATCTCATAGACCTTATTTCTGATTAAGCCTTCCTGGTCTTGTCACATGGGAAAATCTGGTTTTAAATTTTTTATATCTGTATGTTGGTGTGTTTAGTGACAGATTTTTAACTGATGACTGAATAAATGAGGCTCCAGGATTGCTCTGTTTAAAGTGGCTGGAGCAAATTCCAAATCAAAGGAGATAGAACTGGCCTTTTATGGCTTGAACAGGCTGGGTTTTCTTCACAACTCTTACATAGGTTTCCACAGATCCTTTATATATTTCAGAGGAATATTTCAAAGTAAAAAGTTTTATATCTTTCCTTAACATAGTATGAGAGCTGAGCTAAAAGAACACAGATATTTTATTTCAGATTTGTATGCTCTGCTTTAATCTACTCCCCTTTAAAGTATAACCCATGATAGAAGGTTACCAGGTTGTCTCCTGCTTTCATTGCAGTATACGCTACCTTTTTTTTTTCTTTTTTTGTAAAATACATATTTCATTTTAACAACATTTATGAGCATTGTAACTTTTTTAGGGGCTGAATCCTGAAAGATGCTGAGGCCAATATTTTCTATATTTTTCAGTGATGTCTTCTCTGACATTCTCAGGCATCTGACCATTATACCAGTATATAGCAGATGGACATGACAGAGGGTGAGCTTTGGCAGCACCGTAAGGCAGATACCAACTTTACTATGACCATTTCTGAGGGAAAGACAAGCATTCCAGCAGAACTTCAAGCTGCTACTTCCAGTTTATTTTGGGGGTCCTTTTTTTACGTGCCGGTTACTGTGGAATTTCTATCAGTGATGGGTATATAGCCAGTTGCCCAAAATGCTACAGTAGTCTTATTTGAGTACTTGTAAAGTATTATGCATTAATGTAGTTTACACAAGTCTTTGTACTTTTTTCAGGTAGGCAGAATTACTCTTCTTAGTTTGGCAATAATAATAATAGTATATGTTAGTAAGGAAGTCTAAAAACACATGGACAGTTCTGTTCTTTTGAGTCAAGAATAAATAATCTTACTATTTCTGATTGAAATAAATGGAGCAGCAGTATATTTTATGTAGGATTCATCACAAAGTCTGAATAAGTAGGAAATTCTAATGCAAAATAATTTTGTAATGAGACTGGAAAATTTTAAAGACTAGAAATTAAATTTTACTGCTGTATGTATGCTGTATCTCTCTGTGAATAAAAGAAATGTGGAATTTTTTTATTACTTTTTTTCCGAAATGTGATTATAAATACTGCTTTGAAATGTGTTAAACTAATTGCAATCTGACTTTTATGCATGAAAACTCCACTACTTTCACAAAAGCTGTATTTAAGATGTAAACCAGAATCCGTGTGTATTTTCAAAAAGATGTAAACTTGAGCAACTCAGTTCTCTTTCCAAGGAATAGTTCACAGAACAAGATGAAAGTTGGTGGAACATACTTGCAAAAATCATTCACAGCAACTCCACTCGAATTTAGGAACTGTGTAGAAAAGGTTCATGTGAGCTCCATTGGGAATATTAAAGGCATTTTTGAATTTCAGGTTTGCTAAATAAAGACATTTGCTTAATTTCTGTCCATCACTGACTACCATGAGAAAAATAGAAATTCTGTAAATGCAACAAATCAATCATTCTGGTTCAGATGTAATGTTCAGTTAACCTGAAACAGCTTTGGGAGCCTTCATGCAAAGGACAACATTTATGCAAAACCTAAGAGGATGGAAAAAAATCTACAGATAATGAAAAATTAGTGATGACTACTTATTCTCCGTTGTAACACTAGGTTTTATTTGAACCACTGGTAGGAAATGAATTAATATATATCTCTTTTCTTTTTTCATTCCTATTTAGATCTAACTGTGCAGAAAATATCCGTAAACACATCTTGCATACGGGAAAACATGAAGGAGTAAAAATGTATAACTGTCCTAGGTGTGATTATGGAACAAATATCCCTGTGGAGTTTCGTAACCACTTGAAAGAACTACACCCAGACATTGAAAATCCTGATCTGGCGTACTTGCATGCTGGTAAGGTCATTCCTCCTTTTGCTTACAAATTCTTTTCAAATGCACGTGCTTTTAAATGATTGTAATAACAAAACAAGAAGTTATTATCATTTATTCTGAAGAAGAACAAGGCTTTAAAATGGGCTTAATCCTCTTCAAGTTTTCCAGGATTGAAGATTATTCATTAAGCACTGAAATCTATCCATGTTACACAAGCAAATCTTCCATTTCAATAAATAAACATCAGAAGTGCTTGCTATTTAGATGCCTCGTCTTGAAATCTAACTGAACTTTTAGGGAGAAATATTTTTAAAGATTTTTATTAAGTCCCTCTGCCTAAGCTATTCCCCAAAAAGAGAAACGCAAAATTCCGTAAGAAATACAGTGGCAAATTAATGCACTGGTTTAAAAATTCTTAGATTTCATTACAAAAAAATAGACTGTTCCTCATTAAAAGATAGAACAGCAGAGCTAAACCAACAACTTAGATGTACATTTTCAGGCTTTGTTTTAGAGAGCGCACACATGGAAATCACTGGAGGAATGCAAAACAAAAACATTGCTTTGGAAACAGGAATTAAAAGAAAAGAGATGGGGTGTTCTCTATTTAGGAACAAGTTTTTTTGGTTTTTATTTGGTTTTGGGTTTTATTTTTTTAATAGATTCTGCAGTTCAGAGTGGAAGGCAGAAGATTAATGGTAGGAGGTTAGGAGAAATGATACAGAATTAGTGTGGAGCTTGAATGAAATGTGATCTTAATGCAGGAGAGGCAGATAACTTAGACATCACTGGGTGGAAAGACAAGTCAGAGCAGTGGGAAATAAGAACAGATGGTGAGAAGGAAGAGTTGGGGAATCCAGAGGAGGAAGAAGCTATGTGGGCCAAAGTCTCCCTGAGATGCAAATTAATCTTCCATTGAATTACTACTATTAGTACTCCCATGTCAGATTTGAAACTTGTGTAAGGAATTAATTTCATAGGTTTTGATACCCTCATACCTGTAAAAAAGCAAAACCTGGAGAGTTTTCATGCAGCTTTGTGCAGTATGTACACTGTAGTTATTTTAAAACCTCTGTCTTCTCAAAATGACTGCTTGCTTTCCTGACTAGAGGCAGTGTATTATTTGTACCATATATTTCTATTTGCCAAGTATTCCACTTCATTTTGGAACCAATCATCATGTCATGTCAGCATATGGTGGATAATATCTGGATGTGCAAACAAAATGCCAGTTGGCAGAATACCAATTTCAAAATAGGTCAGAAAACCGATCACATTTCACCATAGTTCTCACTAAAGCAAATGAATATTCAACTCAGAGCTTAAATCCAGACACCGTTGGATTTTTACTACAATAATCCCACTTAATATGAAAAAATCAAATGCTTTCAGTAGACAGATATATATAACAGAGAGCTGTAACAGTGATAGAATCACTAACATTCCAAAATTACAAACATTTTATGCACATTTTCCCATTATTAATTTATATCTGGGTAAATTAATTGTTCACTGTAGCATGCTGTGGTTAAAACTGTTCAGCTTGCTTGTTTTGGTAACACAGGAAAACACTCATCAGTGTGTTGTATCCTAATGATTTCTATACATGCACTCATATACTACAGAAATCCCCTTGCACTAAACAGGATACTGTGCAAATATATTAGGACTAGCAAGAACAGATTGTCACCTATTGATTGCCAGGTTCACCTAGAACTGGGTTTGCATAATCCCATTGCTAAAAGGATGATACTGTATCTTCCTTTCAAAAAGAAACACTATTAAAGAGGAACCTGGGTGATAATTGTGTATTCATACCATAGTTAAATTAAGGGATGTTTCTTTTCTTCTTTTCAATCCATTTCTGACTGCTGGACATCTGAGAGTTAAAGGTTTTAGAGAAGATTTTTAGAGGAATGAAGGACAACTCCTGTGCCCTGGCTAACATCGCTTATAAAAATAAGATTTGTTCTGTGTCTGGTTCACAGTTACTGATGACTTAGTGGTCATTGGCTGCACCCACAGAGAATCTACAACACGACATAGAACCCCTTAGGATGATAGGAGTATAAAAGTGTCATACAAGATTGATTTTTTTTTTTTAACTTAAACATATTTGTCTGTCTTTTATGTTCTAATATTGCTTTGTAACAGGAAAGCCAGCTCTTTTTGCTTCTTTGAGCAGATAGAAACAGAGTAAGTCTCTTCACTGGCAAAGAAACAGACACCAACTCCAGCCACTTTGCAGGACAGCCAGAAGCTCCTTCACTACAGCCCATCAAGAGTGGAGCTGTGGCATACCTTTAGGACATGACTGGGAGTAAAAGTCAAGTCTGTTTCTTGTCTGTGAAATTAAGATTGACAGTAGGATTTCTAATTTTAATTTAATGGCCTTTATAATTGTTGCGGGAAGAGTGGAAGCTTCGGACAAGCCTTAGCCTCAGATTCTGGCAACAGTTTAAGTTCAAGAAATCACCCTAGTCTGCAAGTTCTAATGATGGCAAGACAGATCTATTTATAAAATGAATTATTTATTAAACAGACAAGAGATAGCAGATGAAAGATCTTAATCAGAATCACTTACTACACAGTATAAAACTGAAAAGAACTACTAGTAGATTACAGCACAACATAAAAATGCACAATATTGAGGATAATATCTATATTAGAGCTAGGAAAAGAAACGGTATTGATTAGGAGTCAAATCTAACTTATCACTGAAACCATGATAATTTGCACATTCCTTCACTTAATCCCTTGGGAGTAACTGCAAAGCAGGCATCCCTACTCATGGGAGAAACTCCACACATTTCCAGGGAAACGTATAGAAGGTTTCTGCTTTGTGGAAGTTTGGTGTGGTTCTTATAGTTGTAAAGTGAATGCCTGTCTGTCAAAAATCTGGCTTATCTTTCCAGGGCTCACTTCCATCAGTAAGACATTTATTGGCAGTTGGGAGATGTTAACCCCATGGTGCCAAAATAACTCACTCTAAGAAAGCTTGTCCTGTTTGAGTTATCTGGCTGGTTAACAAACCACAGATAAGCTCTTGTGGGCAGTGAAATGCCCTGCTACAGTAATGTAATGCTCTAATATCAGTTTCTATTTAGATTTCTTTGGCAACTGCTATGCTGCTTTATGGGGTCAATGGTAGTAAGCAGCTTGAGGAAGCTGCATTTCTATGGGAGAAGCTGTGGAAAATGGAAGACAAATGAAGTTGCCTTTTACATTTGTAAAGATAATATTGTAATTGAAAGGTGGTAGCACTTCTGTTCTAAACTGATATATAGAAATGCCAGAAAACCAGGTCTTTAGACTTTCCTCTTTTTTGCTATGGGTTCCCTCTTTCACAGAGGGAGTTATTTAACAATACAATTATATTCCTTATAAATCTTACATATTTTAACAGTCTGGATTATACTTTTTTCTTTAACTTTTAAGATTTACTACGTTTGAACAGCAGGCCTTTAATGCACGCAAGCCAACAAAGATATATGCAGTGCACATAAAATTGTGAATTGAATTTGCTAGGCCACACTTCAAATAAATACCAGTTTATGCATTTAACCTTAATTTTTATACGAATCATCAAGTTTGTTTTTTAAAATGTCTGTGTATTGTTATGTAGGAGCTTGGTGCCTATTTCTTGGTGTTCTCTGACCCATTTTCTCAAGGCCTGTGTTAAAATTGAAATTTTGTTGGAAGAAATCCAGGAATATTGGATTGTTATCCATCATCCACAATATGACTTTGTTTCCCTTTTAAAACCTCAGTTAAGATACTTACAGATCTTATAGCTGTTCTAAGAACAGAACTGGGCTCAGGAATCCTACAGGTAATGTTTAAATAATGGAAGCTTGGTTCTAGTGGAAACTGTTTATGTACATTCTTGTTATCCATGTTCAATCTGAATGTGTGTCATTACAAATGGAAAATGAATGCAATAGATGAGATTATCATATGTTGATGACTGTCATTTTAGTAATTTTTCTAAAACTGAGATTATTTAAAAAAAAAAAGCTTATTACTGCGGGCTTGTCTGAATTGTGAGTCTTAAAACAGGCTGACGACATATTTCGATTCTTGTGTGCATTGCATTTCCAAAATTCTTGAATGTGTTTTCTTCTAACTGATGCTACATTACAATACTGAGTTGAACTGAACCTGAATATTTTGTCAAGTGGTACAGGAGAAGGGCTCGTACCTGTGGTAGATCTTGCAAGGGATCAGTATTCCAGTTTTCTTTCTCGGTGCTTTGTCTGCTTTGGAGCAGCATCACTTGGTAGTGATAATTTCAGTTTGAACTGAATGTTGATCATTTAGGAGCTCTTGTCTCACAAACATTGTGATACTATTATGATGCATTATTTATGTCCAAACAGTGTAATAGCTATGCCTGAGCATCTCCATTATTCCAATAGCTGCAGAGTTCGTGGTATCTCACAGTGTGGCATAGTAGCCTTCTGTGGCTACTAAACTGGTCATAAGCAAAAAGCTCTTCAGAGAGAAGGGAAGTAGTTTGCTCATTATTGGTTTTGTGATAATGTTTAAAGTTATGCAGTGATACTGAGGGATTTTTTCCTTATCATTATTTCCATGCTGCACTGTAAAAAGTGGAGATGGTTTCCAAGAATCAATGTGTGAACCCTAGAAATCAGAATAACTGAGTTTTTCACTGAGCAAAAGATACAATGGTCCTGCCTTTTTACAAGTGTTTTTACAAGTTTCCTCCTGGGCAAAATAGGTGCAATGCTTCTATAGTTTGAGTCACAAAGCTCTTGCTGGAAAATGGCTTCACAACAGTCAACTATATGATTAGGGAACTGCTTAAGGCATTGAACAAAGAATTTGGTGATGTTTAATTTAGAATTGTCAGTCATGCCAAATACTTCTTGTAAGTAATTTTTTAAAAAATGAACCAGTGAAGCCAGCTCAATTAATTGTACACTTTGGTAAAGCTTTGGGAAGTTTTTGTTTGGGTTTCTGTGGCAGTGATACTGTGCTTGCAAAGCACTCAAATTTTC